GCTTTTGATCTGGTCATCTATGAAAATTTTATGTCGAAAATTACAAGAACTAGGTGTATCTTCTCTAATTGTTACCATTTTGAAGTAAGTATTGGTTTAGCGATCAATCGAATAGTGTGAGGTGGGCAGGCACACTCAACTTGTATGGATCTGACCATATAAAATAGAATGTGGCAAGGCAGAGTGGGTTGACTTCGCCTTGGCTATTTAATTAGATGCCCTATAGTGGTACTACATGCCCTGCTAGTGTACCCCTTATAGGTAAATTTGAATGGAGAAGAATTAACTAGAGAACTCAACTTCAACTACACGGGTCATTTGATAAACGAGGGACATCTGTTAACCTTAGGGACATCATCAAGTGTGAGCGTATGGCACTCCATCAGAGCAATCAATATGTTTTTTTATGTAATATGTCGGCAAACAAGCAGACGGATTACCTGATGGTTAGCAATCAGCGCCGCCCATGGACACACGCAGGGGAGTTACGAGTGCGATGCCGACCTTTTAGAATTTAAGAATTGGGGGAGGGGAAGGATTGGGCCTCCGGTAACCTCACTCACACGGCGAAACACAACGGTGTGGTTGTTTCACGCCGGTTTTCTGTGAGGCCGTGGTATCACACCGGTTGAGCCGACCCATTCAGAAGTATGGCTTTCCCACAAAATGATCGCTCGCAGGTTTGCGCGATGAACTTTTTACTGTTAAGTATTATACTTTCTATTTATAAGTTTGAAATTGCCAATCCGCCTTGAGCAAGCATGGTGATTAACCTTTTCACCGCCACGCCATATCGGTATTCCTATGCCCTGTACGCCAAGCCCGAAAATCTTAATTAAATACCTACAAAAAAATAGGGATTTCAACATTATATCGATACCCATTATTATTATTTTTTTTATCAATACTTGCCAGATAAATGGTCGATCATTAATATGTTAAAAAGAACATTCCAATATTAAATATTTTACAACGTTCCACTCAAGTAGTTCCGAAGTTGTTAATAACATAAAAACAATGATTAAGACACACAACAGTTAAAATGAAAATAACTCTAGGTACAGCACTATTCTCAGTACTGATGTACTTCACTGTCGGGAATAGCCGACATTGGCGCCGTCGACGAGTCTTTTATAAGGCATCGTTGCATGTACATTAGAGTTGTACCATAGTGTCATACAGTTTATCGATGTTAGTATCTAATTAAATTCAAAGGCCACAGTAGTTTGTTTTTATTATTCTTGAAATTTACACTTATTGCAACAATTCGGGTTGTTAATGGATTGAATGCAAATAAAACTATTTATTTACCAATCATTTAGTTTAATTATTGAGTTATATTATTAATAATTACTTTGAGATCATATTACTTACATGTCACTTATGAATAATATTATCACGTGATATTATTACATAGCAACAATTTTTATAACAGGAACTTTCTAATATTCTCACTAATCAGATTAATTATATGTATAAAATAAATCAAAATTTTCGTATGAAATTGCGTAGTATATACGTAACGATTTTTAAGTATAACGATATTTATATTCTTAAAATAGATACATTATTTAGTTTCTCGTATCTAACCTAATTAAACATTAAAGGATCAACAATCAACAATTATAAATGCTCACTGATCAGTGTTCAAAAACTACAAAACTCACTAAAAATACTTATAAAATATCAACAATAGTACATAATTAGGTATAGTGTAATAGTGTTGCAATAATAGAAATATCTCTTAAAATGAAATACTGAAAATAAAATTTACTAAACCATTTTTTAAATTAGTCCTAAATCTTAAGTTACCTAAATTAATTTAAGAATATAATATACGTCAACATGATACTACATCACTAGCAGTCGGCTCTGCACGACATTGGCGTCATGGGACTTACTTTTTTAACCATAAATTATTTTACTTTTTATCATCAAATATTTAAATGAGGAATATGCATTTTTGTTTACTGTATGCAACTAAATAATGTTTAGACATTCAGCTTTCAAGGTGTATCAATAAAATACATAAAAGTAATGATTTAATAGGTTTATTTTGTATTTTTCTGCGACCTGTTTTTTGTCGAGTATAGCCGTCGTTGGCGCACAGGGCACGCTTGCTCATGTCGGCTATAGCCGACATTGGCGTTCAAAAGGTTAATGCTCAAACTATCTCCGTGTGAAAAGAGGCCTTTGCTCAGCAGTGGGTACTTTTGGGCTGATGATCTGATGATGTGCATTGATTGCTTATACTTACGCGAGCATTGACGCTTAGCATTGATCAATGCTAGGCAGAGTGCGGGATAGTCGTAACACCGTTTTAAGGATAGTAGCCAGTAGACTGCCTGTAGGTACCTGACTCATATAGGTATTGATACCAGATACTGTACTCGGACTTTTAATTCCATTCCAGATTTGACAATTTCAGTGTTGCAACGTTATGACACGTATTAAATTGTGACGTTGCGAAATTATTCGATGTGGAAATCGAATATTTCTGAATCGATTCCACTCGTTTATAAATTTAATCTCGTAAACTAAGTTTATCAGGAAATAAAATATCTCTGATCAGATAATTTAGTTTTGACAATTAATTAACGATCTGAGACTTTTCTTTTGTAATTGTGTGTGAAATAAATAAAAAATGTGACCATGAAGGAACGTGACAAATAAAACAGAAATTTTATAAATTGTCGCCGTCATCGCTATCGCTATCGCTGTTACTTTCTGTAACATTTATTATAAATTGTGTCTGTGATTTTTAATGTCAATTAACATATCTAGCTTACTCATTTTTTTCCCTATTTTGACAACATGGGATACGCATTTAGACCATTCGGTAGCCGTAATTTATTGAATGCCTTCCTGAAACTGATTCACTGATTGTTTATCGATTTTTGTGTTCATCACTACACTGTTATATGTGGTATCATTATTTCACAAAATGACAATAGGTCATGTCAAATCAGGAATCGAATTAAATTTCTGACTATAGATATTGATACCTCGAGTATTGATCAGGCAGGGGTCTTATAGCAGGTCTATAGGACCCCTCCCTATAGGGCTGATGTTCAGCCGGGGTTGCGGGTTAAACAAAAAAAAAGGTCTATAAGACCCCTGCCAGGTTAAGTTGTATTACTAAGACTATTCGTAGATACGGCTCAAAATACTTACCCATCATTATTATCTTGAATAAAAAAGTTTTATTATTAGATATTTATATGTCTTTACCAAACACTTGACCACAGGGTACCGGTCATTTGGGAGGCGTACGAGGGGCCATAGCCAACTGCGCAGAGGCCCTTTAGACAATTTTAAGTAGGTAGATTATCTTGTAAGTAGATATGGCGGCAAGTGGAAAACGAGCATTGGGTCACCCGATGGTTTGTAATCGGCGCAGCGCCGCCTGTAGACACCGCAAGTGCACTGCCGGTTTTTTGTGGACTAGGGATTTGTGATCATAATATAAATTTATGTTTATGGATAGGTATGAATAAGGCTTAAAATAATCGACAGCAATTGGTTGTATTTGAAGGTGGCGTCAATGCGTTTTCACTCCGTTATCTTTGGCTATAAAAGGCATTATACCTGAGGTAAAAGGTCAAATGAAATGAAAATCGTACTTACCTAGGTGCAGGCTAAAAAAAAAGACAAAAACACAATGATTTTTTTAATCAAAAACATCATTTATTATCTATACAATTTTACAATATCTCGCGTCTCAAGTGCAGCTTCTATAATAATAAGTAATAAATAAATCCTTTTTTTTAATAATCCTAAAAATTTACATTTTTTTTTGCAAAATTTTTAAATAATAATAATACCTACTACATATTTACATATCAACATATTATTTGTCGCTGTTATTCAATTAACATTTTTTTTTTACATTCTGAGAATAAGTATATTTTGTTTTGCAGAATTCGTCATAATTATTAGTTGTGGTAATACTGCGTTAATTAAAAATATAATGACTGCACGGTAGGTGATAGGATGCTGGGTAACGTGTCACAGGTTCGATTCTCGTACAGAACTATACCTAAGTATATGTGATCCATGAATATTCCGGGTCTGAGTGTGATGTAATTTCCCTTGATCTTCTTACTATGAAGTTTAAGTTTTTTGAAATTGCAATTTACAAAATATTGTGGTCTCTATAAATAAAAAAAATAAAAGAAAAATATTGCTTATTTTTGCCTTGGTTGTGAGTTTTTAGAAAAGTTACCTCGATGAATTCCGGTGTCAAGTGCTAGCAATTTTTTTAAAAATTTGTTTAGAATAATAATTCATTCTGATATTTATTATTTACTCAAAAATGCAATATTTATAATACCTTTATAATTACAATTATTTTAAAATGCAGTTTTTTCACGAAGATATATGTATGATATAAAAGGTACAGAATTCAAGATAGTTAGCAATATATTTTCAACCCAATCAACTTGCTATAGGGTCGAATTTGTTCTTTGGCAGAAATAAGGCCCACTCCATTATAAGGAGGCTCACAGTTGCCTAAAGACCTCTGCTATTGCAGATCAGAAGTATCACAAGAGTGTTGCTAACCTATAAAATAATTAAGTCAGTTTGAAGTTTCTTGATTGGCTGGATGATCTGTTCAAATGTTGTCAATAGGAAAAAATTATCTCCACTAGATATATGTAGGTGAATATCGGTGGATTTAAATTATTTGTTGTATTTTTATAAAAAGTTATTGTTTTATTTTACCTTTTCAATGTTGGGAGAAATATGTTGTAAGGTAAGTATAGGATGTACAGTCGCTAACACAAGTGTTACAAACCAATTTTTTTTATTTAACATCACCGATATTTTTTTGAATATTGGTTCAAAAATAAGGATTTATTGTCACTTTTTAGGGGTAAAATCAACTTTAATTTCGAAATTCTCTGTATTTATAGATCAATATTACTCTTCGTAATAATGTTTTTTTTTTATAATGGCTGCAAATAAGGGTACTATTTCTCTATATTTTCACACCAGTAAAGGACTGCTGTTATCTTATTTATTACAATTAATATTACACTAGTTATTTCTATATGGAAAAGGTGCGTCAAAACGAAACGCCCAAATTTTCATCAGGTAGACAGAAACTTTACAATGTGTAAACCCACAAATATTTTAAATTCCCTATAATTACCGAGAATTTCGAATACCAGGAAGTGTAAAGATCTTTTCGCTACACGGGAATCGAACCCGACGCTGTAATGCAACAATAAATTGGTTTGAAAATCAGTGTTACCGTGTTATATGAAGTGGTTGTGTTTGAAATGAAAGAAATAGTTGTGTTGACATGTAATTTAATGTTTTATCATGTAACTACAGACCTAATCAATAAAAAGTAGGCTAGAAATGAAATGAAAATACAATAATAATCACTAGTGAAGTCTCACTGTGCTTTATTTGCGTTGTTAAGCATCGTTTAGCGACATATCGTGAATAAACATTAAAATTGACCGCACATTGAATCACCTTATCAAATAATGTAAACTTCCATATCTGAGCAGTCATTTTTAATGTTTAAAACGTGTGTTTATTCATCATGAGTTTATTTGAGTAGAATAGTGTCATTTAGTCGGTACATTAAATTATTTATTGACAATTAAAAAAAAAACAACATTCACTAAATTTTCTTTGTACATTCAACACAATGGTTAGCTATCATGACATTCAGGTCCTAATCCTAGAACATTTAATTTTTCCATTCGAAAATATTCCTAGAGAAAAAGATATGCATCTATAACCTGATAACATTTATTAAATTCAGCTATATTAAAGACTAGTCGAATGCTGGCTATAAAACTGTTTATGTAATTTGACATCTTTAATTGATTGCTAGCAATATTCGCAAATAAATAGACATTCAAGTAGAACTACTCATAAACAGTAATATAGACGAGCTACAACGCCACACCATACAAACATCTATTTCTAGACACGAAACAAAAAATATTTTACTCTTCAACCAGCGCGACTAAGGTGCTATGGTGTCTCCATTGGATCTGTCCTTATACTAAATCCTTGTGCAAGGCTTATTTATCGAATCATCGCTATATTTTTTAAGAAAATTTTTTAGAAAACTTTACTGTTTTTATTTTTCATCCACTAATCGAATATAATTGACATTGCAATGACACTTACTACTAACCTAAAGAGTGCTAAACTATCTTAAATTTATATAATTTTGGTTCTTAAAACATTTGAATCGGTCGATAGATCTCTACCGACATAACGGTGCAAACTTAAGAAACAAGCACAAGCGTGGTCTATCCAAAACCAAAAATAAAACAATCGTTTCTATAATATAGCTCAGTTTCTTTATTTCTTGTACATTTCACAACTGTAATGTTTTACAAAACAACCGAGTTTCTAGGTATATGTACGCGCGGACTCGTTGCCCCATACTGCGCACCAGTAAAGGGAACAACAAAGAAAACTAAGTACTTTCAACATTACTCACAAATTAATATCATTTTTTTACTAAAAAAAATCCTCACTAAAACAGGAAACAGTGCTGTCTTCAAACCGGTCAGTTTTACGTCAATGTGGATCAATCAGGTTGAAAACAACACTGCAGAAATAATAAGTAACTAAAAGCTAATTAATCAAATTAAATGGGAATATTACTTAATAGATACCTAAACTGCTAAGTCCACAAACAAAATGCAGACGCATTCAACAGAGCATCGCTCCGCACTAAACAAAAAACAAAGAAAAAAAATGGAAATGTATAAATGTGTAATAATATGAAAAAAAAAAACATGTTACTGTGTCTAAAATTATATTAAGAAAAAACTAACTGTTAATGTCTTTATAAGAGTGATCTAAATCACAAATTGTAAAAATAAGGAATTATTCAAAAATGTTGCCGCCTTGAAAAAATCGCCCGCTTTTCGATTTCTGTGGTAACTTTTTTCGAATGAGGGATGTGGTGAAAGCGGGTGAATTTTTCTATTTTTTTTTGTTTTATAGCGGCAACCCCAAATCTCCCCCCCGCACTCGTAGTGGTGTGCCTGTGTGTGTGTGTGCCGTCCGTCTTGATATGTGTGTGTGTGTGGGCCCCTTCACGCCGTTAGCTAGAAGCAAATAGTATTTAGTGAGTAATGAATGTTTTGAAGTTTCAGTTTGGACCGAAAAAGGTTTTGAGAAGCGTATCTGTTTTAGGGAGGCGAAGAGAAATGTTATAACACTGTATTGCTGTATCCTTTTAAGGCCATACTGTGAAATGTAAGTACCTAACCGAATGTTTTGTTAATTAATGAGTAGAAAAAAGGTATAAAAAAATAGTAAGAGAACAACAAAAAAGAAAAAGAAACTGAAAATTTGAGCAAAAACTGTGATAAAGTGAAAAAGACATGTAACTTAGTATTTTATGTATCTCTATACATTTCACTAATTTTATTATTTGTCACTGTGATATGTAGTTTCGAAGCATATTATACACAAACGGACGTACGCTATTCGTAACTAAATAAAAAGAAATTGACATTTCCCATCGGACAAGCAACTGTACAATCGGGCACAACAGGCTTAGACTTACAATCATATATTTTTATATTATTCTACAAATCTAGATCAGCGTATTTTAAGTACAAATCTATTCATATTTAAGCTTAAAAGCATTGTGTTGTCACACAAAAAATATAAGGTGTTGTGCACGAATGTACATAAATAATACACTTAGACATATCTACATGTATATATAGCTGTTTACAAATTGACATAGCACACATACGCTTTTTATTATCCACATAAGATATGTCATTCCTTTCGACAAATATTATATTTAATTTACACTATTTTATAATATTCCTACTAGACAGCGCGAGATTTCAAGGCAGCTTCTCTGAATATAGTCAAAAAACTAAAACAAAAAAAAATACAACTACGGATTTTGAAAAGAAAATTTTCTATTACTCTGCTGATCTTTGAATTGATGATTGCCAAATGTACTTTCATAAATTTATTATAAAGTCAAAGTGAACTGTAAAAAACAGACCATGAATTTCATTTTGTAAATATATATAAACCAAGACATGATTTATTTTATTTTTCTACAAATACAACATCATATCAACGGCTATTCCATATTCAAGACAAGCAGAAAACAGAATACGAAAATAATTAGACATCTGAAAACGTAATTTTCGGAAACGTAAAATACAGTGCAAATCTCGCGCACATTCTATTAAAAACTGAAAAAAATATTTTAAATAAGTAAAACTGCCTTTAGTATCCACTCATTTATCATTTATTACTATTTTTTTATTTTTTATTTGAATAATGACACTTTAGTACATAATTGTACTTGAATAACAACTAAATTATTTGACTAAGTGATGTGTTCCTTTGTGAAAAAAAAAAGAAACATCTAATATATATTTTTTTAAAGTTTTAAATAATCAACAATGAATAATGACAGCTTAAATACTCCATTTTAAATATTATTTAGAAATATTCAGTGCCATCTAGTGGACAAAAAAGACAACTTTTCCGCCAAAGTCCGTCTGTCCGGACCGATGCAAAACATTTTTTTATTCAGCTCTTACCATGTACATACATACAATAGTATTTTCTATATATATATATATGTTTTATACATATTTATTTTAGTTCTAACTTTCTCATATAGACTTTGGCTTTATTTTTGGCTTACATAAGTCAAGGAACGAAAACTGGGTGGTGTTGGGAAAAAAAATCAAATTTTTGGTTTTTTATTAGAAAAATTTAGTCATAGTTAGAGATGAAGGTAGAAAAGATTGGAAACTCTTTAGAAAAATCGTTTTAAAATTATCTTTTTTTTAGGAAAATTATGTTTACAAAGATTTTCTATAAGAATAGAGAAATATTTTCATCATCCAAAATAATTTTTGAATTTTTAAGATCAAAATATAGCAACGTAGCTTTTAAAGTAGAAAATGGTATAGATATTGCTAAAAAATATATAGTTTTTTAGCTGAAAGTTATATCGGGTTTCATTTGGAAACATTAAATATTTTCAGATACTTTAATATTGTTTTATGGGCATTTAAATATTTTTGACAAAAGACACAAAAACACGATTTTGTGGTTTGCAGTTCAACTTACTAAGAGGTACCAAATATCAATGTATTGAGATGATCATTTTAGAAGGAAGAATAAGCTTCAAATTTTAATTATTTGTATGGCCTTTATTCATTTTGTAAACTTAAACTAAAAATCATTATAATGTATGCCAAAACCGAGGTATTGCGGTTTGTTTTTCAGCCGTGATCGTTAAAAAACGTCACACAAACAAAAGACACCTTCGAACACTAACCAACAAGAGTTTTTTTGCTGTTGCTATATTTTGATCCATTAAGGTTATATAAAAACTGACATCTCTATATTAGTGCTTTTAATAAATTTAAAATTTTTCAAGCGCTTCCGATTGTGTGTTTTTATAGGAAAAGTGTTTTTTAAGCTCGACAACTAGGACTCGTTTCGACAATAATGAATTTTCTGCGTAAAAAAATATATACCCAAAAAACTGGTACACGTTATTTTAATAATATTGAAAAAATACAAGATATGCTTAATGCAATGAAAAGAAAAATGCAGAAAATGCAGTGTAGTATGTTGGATAGGAAAATATTTATGTCAGGTAGAAAAATAGGTAGGTGTATAGAAGATTTCAATATTATTTTCATCTGAAGATGATAAAATTTGAATTTAAATTGATTAAATTTTCGAATTTAAATTTTAAATCCGAAAATAGGTTTTAATAGTGCTATGAATAGTTAGATAGTAAAGAAGCAAATAAAATTCTTGATGTTAAGCTCATGTAATATATCATTGTAACAAAACAATGTTGTTATTTAAATTAGAAAAATAATTTATTCTCATACCATAGGTATAATTTTATGAATTTATTTCTCCTACAAGAACACACATCGATTTGAATAATTACAAGCAAATATAGAGATAATCAATATTAAAATCTATGGTCCCTACTATCGAAGATTAAGAAACTGACATTTCGATAGGAAATGATTTCAAAAAACTTCTAAACTGAGTCAGTCTGTGACATTATGCGATACAATTTTGACTAGAAAGAGACAAAAAAGCATTATTATTTTTATTTCGAAGCCTATTACCATAACTAGGCCGAAGATTTCTAGTAAACCTAAAAAAACAACATAATATAAAAATGTCGAAACAAAAAAGAAAATGGCAGGATATTTCGAGATTAAAGTTTTATAATAATCAAGTATTGACTATAATTTGCCTCCTACCTACTTTGTGCAGACAAAACTTCACATAAACTACAAATAACCGAGAAACTTAACATTATTATTTCCTCCCACTCTGGTAACACATAATCTTTGGCTTGCCAACAACGAAAACTAATGCACATAGACAACATCAGTGTTGCCAGTTAAAATATCAATCCGATACAACATTGGTCCGACACCATTAAAAAAAATGTACATGTCTTTTAAAACACTTTGATTTTATATACTTTTTTTTCTATACATAAGTGAATTTATTTCTTACTAGTATTCATGTTCAGCCAAGCCGTTGTTTTGACCTTGTCTCTGGTTATTTTGATCTTGATTTTGATTTTGACTCTTATTGGGGTTTTGGCCCTTGCCTTGGCCAATTTGCCGCGACGATGAAAAGCAGAGTTTCATTACAAACGGGAATTTTGCACCTGAAATAATGAATGTACATATTAAAACATATGTATGTATAGGTAGAGTGTATAATATAGTCTCATCAATTTTAGATTTAAATGGGACAAGTGAGAAAAGTAACTAAATTCATTTGTATACTAAAAATATAACACATTTGCCAATACATATATAAAAAGGGGTACATAGGTACTGGACATTCCTTAAGGAATTTCTTCCTCTAGACCTGCGACAGGAATATCAATTACATTAGCTACTAATTCTTTTGTAATTGTTGGCGACTCTACTAAGATACCAATCCCGTTATCATTCTTATAGTGCGTGACTTATAAACCTGCTCCGATTGCTTGCCATCAGGTAACCCGCCTACCAAGTTGCCGCCCAACCACATAAAAAAAACAATAGCACCTGTGCCTCAGAAAATAAGGTTCATTTGCTAGAAAATTAAAAGGCAAAATTATAATTATATACCTGGATGCTGAATAGTCGCGTGGTTGCAGGCCATTATCGCCATCACACTCTGGGAGATATTCTGGAACTCCATCAGACCTGATGATGACCTGAAACGTTTTGGCGAAACACGTAAATTACTTTATTTAAGGTCAAAGGGTAAAGTCGAATCGTAATGTGTAAAGTCAAAGCGTAATGTGTAAAGTCAAAGCGTAACGTGTAAAGTCAAACTGTAAAAGGTCAAAGTCTAACTAACTTTCACGGTGTTTATAGAAATTGTTTGTCCACATTTCAAATTTTTTATTGTTTTACGGTGCTTTTAAAACTTGGTTCGAAAACTCTTTTCAATGTACTTTTTAGAGTACGGCGAAATATTGTGTATGCTTTGTAAAAAATGCAGCAAATTTTAGAAACACTTAGTTGGCATAAATTCTTCTTATCTTCTTCTTTTCAAATAAAATGGATAATGACTATAAACAGATGTGGAATGACGTATGTTCATCTATAGTTCGTTCCATAATTAGAGACAACGATTTGACATTTCGAGTGTTGCAAGTTTTTTCCATTTCATAAATAGTGAAGTCCCGCGACCGGTATTGATCGAAAGACCGAAATTAAATTCTGGACTTCGTGCAATTTAAAAGCTTTATTATTTTTAGCTACTTTCCCTGGTACCTTCCTGTGCCCATGCTAACTCAGTCGGGTTAAAATCATAATGGTAAGGAGGCAACCGTAAAATAATGACCCCCCTTTTAGCAGCCATCAGTCCACGACGTATCGTTCATAACTACTCTTCTGTTTCCGGGAAATCTCCAACAGCTCTGCTTTCAGCATAGGTTCCTCAAATATAATGTTTTTCTTTTAGCCAGTCTTGGATTTCGCATTTTTATTTTAAATTATTATTATTAATTATTCATTCTTATTATTAATTCGACTAAACTATAAAAAACATCACCGCAACTGTTTTATTTTGCTCAGGGTATTTTATAAAAAAACGGTATCGGTATTTTATTTAAAACATCGTACTCGGGCCCATCACTATGTCAAAAAATCTGGCCACATTATTTTGTACTTTGACATTTGCTGTTGTCAAATTGTTGTCTCTAATTATGGAACGAACTATAGAATTATATTTAATTAAAAAGCTCAAGCATGCTTGCTTGCTTGCTTGTTTGGACGCGCTAATCTCTGTAAATACTGGTTCGAATTGAATAATTATTTTTGTTATTTATTATGTTTTCGGCTTACTCACATAATAATTTGACGAGATACTCGACTAGTTTCAGTAGCAGCGCGACGGTCGCCGAGTCGCGTGTCGCGGAATGCTGCTCATGAATATGGGCCTCTAGCATGGCTTGAAACTAGTCGAGTATCTCGTCAAATTATTACGCGAGTAAGCCGAAAACATAATAAATAATTTAGAATGTCTCACGAAAGTTATAATAATTATTTTTGTGTTAAATAGACCATTTATCGAGGCAGGATGTCGGCTATAGATCATTACACTATGACCAATCGGAGCGGAGCACCTTCTGGTAATATTAAAATAAAAATATTAAAACTTACCTTTCACTCTTCAGCGGAAACTTGGAGATTGTGTGTGGTGGAGTGACACCGTAGTCTTTGAACACCTGGAGAAGTTGATCATCCGATACATCCGGCGGTGTGTTGAAGAAATGCAGCACCTGATTAATAAATAAAATCGCAAAATTACTAAAAGTACTTCTAACTAGCTTCAAATAGTTCCTTGAATTTAGAAGTGGCCTATAATACCCTATTACAAAAATTTTATTCCAGCGATTTTTTCGTGTATCATTATGTAGACAAACATCCGTATATCCTTACATCACTACATCCACAGACATTCATACACCGGGTCTGCGGTCGGCGAGTAATGGTAGCTCGCCGCCCGACCAGAACCAGACCCTAGCGTACGGCGCGTAGCGTTCTGCGCGCGCTTCAAAGAGCCACCACAGACGGGGCCCTATAGGGCTGATGTTCAGCCGGGGTTGCGGGGTAAGCGCAATGAGACACCGCTGCCTTGGCCCAGAGCAGCAGAAAGAATAGGGAAGTTCAAGGAGAGCCTGACACTCTCACCCGGCGGGCCTGACGGGTGAAGTCATTTGAATATTCCCCTCACAAAAGAAAACCACATACATTATCTGTCTAATAATATTCTAAGAACTTTCTTACCTTGGAAGGCGGCTGTATTCTGTTCTTATGTATGGAGGCAGGGGTCAGGAACCTGTTGTTCTTGTTGCCAACGTAATCCTTGAACGACGGACTCTTGTCCGGGAGTGGGTAAGGGTTCATTACCTCTGACAGGTACGCTTGTTTTGAGAAACTGTAATAGAAAATAGTCAGCATGTTAATGACAAAACTGTGCTAGATTTCATACTGCATTCTAGGGTGTGAGGTACGCATCGCTACATCATCCTCAACTCCTCAAGTCACGCATCGCATTGAAATGAAAACCGCACGCGCTGCGAACGCGTTATATTTACGTAAGTGCTATCTCGCTCGCGCGCGCACCTCTCTCGTTTCTTTTAGCTACCTACTTGCAGAGTCACAAGAGGCACGTTCTGATTGGACAATCGCGCGACGCTTTCATAGCACTACTGCCACTACGTCAGCCCCCGACATTTTGTACTTAAGCTCAATGTATGAACAGAAAATATATACGCTCCTATTTCTACACTTCTACTCTAGTTTTATTTCAACACAAATTACATCGCTGTTACAAGGGCAATGTTTTTAAATTTGAAAGTTTAAAATGCGATCTTTATGCAATGTTGCAGTTGTGCTTGGGGATTGCTTACAATTAGGTGATATGACGGCTCTTTTGCCGACCTATTCTATTAAAAACGCTTGCCATAGGAAAAGATCGCGGTCTGTGGATGACGAGCAAAGGCAGCTCACCGCCTGACCAGAACCAGACCCGACCTTCCGGCGCGTCACGTTTTAAAGAACCGTCAGATCACCACAGATGGGGATCAACAAGGCTGATGTTCAACCCAATAATGTAGCGTGGAGCAAAAGAGACCAAAATTCATAAAAAACAATTCTTTAAAAGTTCAAAAATATAAAAATACAATATTACGTTAACATATACTCACGCCAACGTTAACGTGTAGTCGCCGACAGTGACATTGTTAAGATTCTGGACACATCGCTCTACAGACACCGCGTCTCCCATCTGGACCATCGCCGTACCTTCTTTTGTTTTCAAGAATTTTATCTGAAATAATAAAAAAAAACAAATTTAATGTTTTCTATGAGAAAACTTGTGTCACCGGTGACCTTTGGTAGTGGAGGATTTGGATTCAATAATTCTCTGTTGGCAGTCAAAGGCTTAAAAAAGGATAATTGTTGATCAGTTTCCTTTTCGTTTTGGACCTTGAAAATTTTAGTAAAATAATTTTGATGTTTAAAATCACATTTAACGATTCTTGAAATAACATTATACACGTTTTACCTCTTTTTCATTTACAAACACTATTAAACGTCAAGATTTACATTTTGTACTGAGCGACTAAAAACTTAAAATTGTAACAAAATCCCTTTATTAAAGTCGCCCCTTATTAAAGTCGAAGTCAAAATGATTTATTTCAATTAAACCACACAAGTAGATATTTATGGAACGTCAAAATAGAATAATAGTCAGTCAGTCTGTTCATCGGCGAGTCTCTATAAGAGTCTTGTTTCTTCAAATGTAAGATTAATTAAGTATACAAAAAAAAAATTGATATAAATTTGATACTTACTCTGACAACGTTTCCATAGAGACAGCAGAGGTTGAACAGTCGGTCAGCGTTCACCGTCTGGGGGTCCAGCCCATATACCATCATCACGGCGCCTTGCTGCGGGGGCCCGCCCTGCGCCAGCAGGGAAAATTATTAATCAACTTTATGCCACTATATAAAAATCAATGCCACTTTTTGTTGTAATTTTATAACTCAATAATGCCTTTACCGATTTGGCTAATGGTCTTAAATTATTCGTGGAAGACCAGAAAAGGTTTGTACCTAGCTTACTCTGAGTGGGTAACCCATTGATATGCATGCAGCATGTTGTAGCGTCTATTTTCATGTTTCTTCTGTTTTAATCTTTAACTCATGTTTGTCTTACTTCTACTGTCACACTTTTATTGTCTTTTTTTGTGGTGCATCGTGCCTGGTGCTGAATAAAAGTCCTTTCTTTCTTTCTTTCTTTCTCTTTCTACCTAGAGAAAATTTTAAAGTCGACATCCACTCGGTTTGTCGCTAGTATAGACTAATTTGAATCCCTTCCAAATTTATTGAGAACCTATTAGAGTTTATATTTAGGTACCTGATTCTGTGGAGGCATGGATGGGTGATGCATGGGCGGTGGTGGCACGAATCCCTCACCGCCGTAGCCCTCCGGTCCATAGCCACGCTCGCGCTGAAAAACAAACAACATTCCATTAAATTCTAATTAAAATAGCTGTTATTTTAAATGCAGTATGTCCTTGTAGCGGTTTTGGACGGCCAAGGAAATAAAGTATAGAACAACTGCCATTGACCTGGTAGTCTTGTATGGAGAATCTAATTAAAAGTCTCAAATGTGTGACCCGACTACGCTAAGGATAAGGAAACTTGATCCCATCTTACGTGGAAAAAGGCAATGGAGAAAAATTTACACTCAAACACAAAAACCACTGAGCTAAAGTTAATAAAATTATGTGTTGAGGAATAAAAAACATATAAGTTATTTTTGGTCACAATAACCCAGGTTGAGTATACGATATCCAACGACGCAGAAAGTCAGAATAAATCCAACTAAACCATAAGTAGATACTTTGAAACGTCAAAATAGAATAGTAGTCAGTCTGTTCGTCAGTGAAGCTTGGTGCTCGTTCCAAATTGTAGATTCAAATGGAGAAGAACGAGCAAGAAACCCTATCGTTTCTCTTTAAAAAAAATATTTGTTTTAAAATTTTACTATTATAACATTTAGTACCCTTATGTAAGAACAATGCAGACACTAGTTGTAAAAAAAAAAGAATAAATGATGGGATCTATCATAAAATTTTAATCCTTTATCGTCTCGAACACGGCGCTCACATATGCGTACTGACAATCTAAAAGAATGCCTGTATATAAACTCTATGGATATATAAATTAAGGATTTATTAGTTTTGAGAATTTTAATAACTACTGACTATATTTGAGTATTGTAACACGAATCAGTAGCTAATATGGCAATTATAAACAATAAGAATAAGATTTTTAATTACCGGATGATGTGGAGGTGGCGGTCCGTGTCTGTCCTTCATCATACCTGGAGGTGGAGGACCTCCACTGCCGTAGTCCATGTCTGTAATAAACGAACATACACTTAGCTATATATATTATATGTATAATATCAAACAATACACCTTATTTCACTACTATCATTATACATATATCACCAACATGTTAAATTTATATATTAGTACGATAACTTGAGACGTTTGAGTGTCCACGCGTTATGGTAACAGTGGACAATTAAACACTTAATTTTAAAAACCTAAACGCCTATCTAAACTCTGAAAACTGATAAAAAAACATGTTTTAACATATTTTTGGCATCATTTTTTATTATTAAACTAGCAGACCGCCCCTGCTTCGCACGGGTACCTGACTACCCGTGTCATTCATTTGTTTTCCAAGCGAACGGCCACGGCGTTGAAAGGATTGTTAATTACCGCTATTCCCCTTTACTTTTCTAAAATTTTCAAGAAGAACCTTCTCCTGATAATAACGAACATAACAAAAAAAGAATTATCAAAATTGGTCCAAGCGTTATTGAGTTATGCGCTTACCAACACATTTTGCGATTCATTTTTATATTATAGATTTGAAACAATTTCGTTTCGGACAATGACTAATTAACTGCACGGAGACGGCAACAAAAATATTTGTTTTGTCATTTCCAAAGTCCTAGTAACTGGTCAAATTCATGCTGAAACTGAATATTTGGGTCGATTTTGGTTTATGATATAATTAAGTGTAAATAGGTTATGTCAAAAAACGACGAATACAAAGATTTGTAGAGCTTAAGATTGATTATTAATTGAGGAAAAAGGTCTATTTTAAAGTTATTTTTTTTTATTTTGGTCTGTCGAGGTTTAATTAATATTTAACAGTTAAAACACACCTTCACAACCTGGTCGTTAACCTAAAAATACAAGACACTTTCGGGCAGTCGTTTAAAAACATTCGAACAATTTCAAAATGTTTACAGAATGGAATTTTCATGTGGAGAGACAGCACAAAAAAAACAACGAAAATTGTTCTCGTCTTTTTCTAAATCTAGGAAGGAAATATAGGTATGCATCACAGTGCTGGCAGGATGCTGTGCCAATCTTCAAACAAGTGCTACATACATGCAGGGGTCATTTGAAATGAAAATCGTGTGTCATTATAAATGTATTTTATTGTTTCAAATGTGTTGATCTTATAAATTATTTTTAAATGTATCGTTGTGACTTAATTTTAAATGTAGATATTTTGTTAAATATATAATATAGATAACATAATTTGGTAAAGGATAGCTTAGCAAGAGAAAGCAATTTCCCAAAGTAAGCAAGGTCATTCGACAGGATAAGCGTGGGAGAGCGAATTTCAAACGGCTATGCGTTTCGTATTTCGAATACATATAAAATAATGAATCGCAAAATGTGAGAGCTTATATTCTCTTATAAACTCGACAAAGTCTGAACCAATTTTGGTGAATTTTAGAAAACTTAAAAATCGAGCCTTTCATCATTAGCAAAATAGTCAAACGGGCCACTACTTTGCATTGAAAAAATGAATGAAGTGAATGAGTTCTTTTTTTGTGAGGGGAAAATCATCAAATTACTTCTCCCGCCCAGGACCTGGCGACCCCGGCTGAACATCAGCCCTATAGGGCCCCGTCTGTGGTGGTCTATTGGGTCTTTGAGGCGCGCGCGAAACCCTACGCGCCGTACACTCGGGCCTGGTTCTGTTCGGGCGGCAAGCTGCCCTTACTCGCCGACCGCAGACCCGCGCTTATGGTGGCCGGAGATCATCTCTCGAAGTGAATGAGTTTGGAACTCCATTCTTCTTTGGATACGTTATTTTTCTATAATGTTCTAAGCTTTCCTTTACCAATTAATTGTCACTCTGGCTATGTTTTACCAAACACTATACAGGATGTGTTGTTTGAAGAATTTAAAATCGAACATGGTAGTGAGCTGTTGAAGAGGTCCAGCAGCAGTCAAAAACTGAGCGATCTTCATGACATTTTCGTGTTTCAGAATATGTTACAGAATTGCGTAATTGTAATATCATCAAATGACTTCTCCCGCCCGGGGTTAGGCGAGAGAGAGTGTCAGACTCTTACTGACTTAAACTCCCCCGTTCCTTCTCGTGCTCTGGGCCGAGGCCGCAGTGACTCATTGCGCTTAACCCGCAACCCTATTACATGTATAGCTTCAGTTTTAAAAAATATAACTAGATAGGTATAGTGTTTGGTAAAACATATTACTTATTCTAAAAGTCAATAAAATTAAATGCATGTATGTTTGTATATGCTATTTAAGAAGCCAATATGTAAGGTATGTATATATGTATGTATAACTAATAATGTATAATATAGAACTTAAATATATTAACTTTATTTATATGTACTTTATACTATGTATAAAATTAATTGTGATTTTTGTATTGTAATGAAAATATAATGATTTGAGACACATTAATCATGATGATTTTAATACAAGTGTTCGTAATGGTTTCTTAAATAGTTTTCCCACGGCAAAATGATTTGTCTTTTGTAGTATTATCAAAAAACTAAAAAAAAATAATGTTTGGGTAACATTCGACCAGCACACAATATCAGCTAATTCAAAAATGCGGGGTCAACGACCTCATTGTCATCGCAGCCGTACGCGCTCTCAAGTACCATTGTTTCGAAGTCGTTTTCGAGTTTATTTTATCACCAATGTTATTTTATTATTATACCAAATAAATATGTTGTATGGTATAAAATCGATTGAATCATTTAGCCGAAGGAAAACGGTTATGTAAAAATCACGTGGTAGGTAAATATCGATAGATAATGTAAAGTAAATATTATTGTTAGTGACACAGTCCAAAATCTAAGTGTACGGATTACAATCACGTGAGAATAGACATAAATTGCTATAACAACTTAACCACAACACTAGGAGTAGTAAAAATAACCTTATTTAAAGACTTTGAAGATGTAAATTTGAAAATCGATACAGTTTGTCTGTTGAGGGCAAAAATAGTTATAAATATTTTTTAATATAAATCCATAGATTAGTCTTCAAATAAGTTTGTTAATTGTAAGTATTGTTATACATGGGTTCGTTTTTAGTCTTAGTGAACATAAATGCTTGCTTCATGCTCTTAACTCGAAGTAAAGAAGTCCAAAATGCTTTGACTAATATTCTCTCACATTTTTGAAAAGTGTTTTTCCAGAATATGATCTACATCTGCTAATTTATAATCAAAAACCATTAAGTAATTTTTACGAAAAAAGGAACAAATATTCATCCCCCCATAAATACACTAATGTGGCAATTGCCATGCATGCAACCATGTTGGGCAGAAGTGGTGTTAAAAAATTGGATATATCTTGATTGTCCCTTCCCCAATGCAAAACTAATGATAAAAATCGACATCCCGATTATCTTGCTTTGTATTTAATCAATTATTGAGACATACTGTCATAGACACACCTTTGACGATCGTTAGAGCCAATTAGAAACCTCCACCATGTAAGAAGAGTCCCAATCCAATAGTGCAACAGTTACAAGCTGACAAAACGACTAACAATTAATGCTACACTCAATAAATCCTTCAAAACCGTGAGAGAGAGAGAAAAGAATATCAGTAGTAGTATTAGTCAGAGCAATTTGCTAAACTTTGATGTTCCTATTATTTGTACCAAAAAGACCAAACTGATCTTGAAAACTAAAACACCATGCGTCCTTCTAGAATCTAGACACACTTAGCCTATTTGCACACGACACGTAATGTAAGCGCTTTGACTGACCAGACTACACCAGCATCTTTATCAGATAAAGAAATAAAGATCCGTGCAGAAACAGTATCATTGTTTATTGAAAACTAGCTGCCGATCACGGCTTCGCACGCGTTAAAAGTAATATAGCCCGGAGTTTTATTAACAGCAGAGTTTAAAACGATAGCTTGACTGAAATACACAAATCAAGTAAAGCAGTCATTAACATTGTAGGTCTAGGATCTATCAGTGAATGAATTCTAAAGGTTACCCCCTACATACAAACAAACTTACAAATTTTACTTCTTTATAATATTATCCACAGATTACTCACTTGAATTTAATGAGCAAAGCTCAATTAGTTTCAAGCCACAGCGGGACTCTTACTCACGAGTAGCGTACGTGTCGCAACAACGTCGCGCAACCGACGGGAGTCCCGTTGTGAATTTAGTATGTCTCATAATGTTGAAGATGGCTCAAGTAAATGTTGAAGGAACCCGTTTCAGGACTTGTGATCGCTTAGAGGATCCTCAAACAAACTATTTAAGTTAACTAAAAATCGCGGGTTACTCACGTGTAAATATTGAGAAAAGCTCTACTAGTTTCGAACCACAGAGAGGTTCTTCCTCATGAGCAGCGTGCGCGGACGCGGCGACGTCGCGCAGCGTACTATTTTAGTTCTCAATATTTACACGTGAGTAACCCGCGAGTTTTAGTTAATTTAGTATGTATCGCGATAGTTATTATAAAAACAAACTATTTAAGCTCTTGTGGTCTTTAGCCAACGAAAGGGATCTATAGAGGATCAATCTGTATTCTTATATGCGCACCTACTAATAAATGGACTAACTTTGAGAACTGGCCTTTTGCGCTGTGATTGTGTTTCTTGTCTTGTATGTTATCACAGAGTAATAATATCTTTCTTTCTTTGTATTAACTGCACATTCACGTACATTTTTGAATATGTCTGTCTAAAAAGAATTTCGTATAACTATTATCAGTACGACCAATTTCTTACTCGTCCTTCTCGATACAAAATTAACACAGTACGTTTTAATACAAGCAGCTTTTTAGCAATCGACAGATTTAAAGATTCTAACAAATCTATTATGACATTTAAAAAAGCTATCAATTTTTTTACCTACTTTATAACTAATACGCTTACAATACGCCGTCGTGATTGAATACGCTAGAACATTCATGTGACAATTTTGACGTGAGTTACAAGAGGAAAGTTAACACACCGAAACAGGGCAAGTCGACAAATTATTTCTATACACACCGTTCTGCGATTGTTCGCACGAATGTTGGCTATGTTGACT